CAACTCTTATATAGCAGTACTCGCCCCCTGGGGACGGAAAATCAGAACGCACTTCGTTTAAACACTCGCTTTGTAGTTAAAAATAGTTTCTTAGCAAAGTGACTAAAACGTTGATACATGTGAAAAAAATTGCATGAGTTTATATCGTTATTTAATATGTTTAAATTGGTTTAGTATTTCACCAAAACGAACTATTTCGTCAAAGTTTCACTCGGTGGTCTTGGCGGATGGTTACAACTTTAAGCCTCCCGTAGCAAAGTGCTGTTCGGTTTTGCTCCGCCAACAAGCATTTACTGACGTAATGCCCGTCAAATGACGCCGACGTAGAAGACACGGGGTTTCCCTGGATATTTCAGGAGTTTCCGCGACTACATCATTGTCATGCGCCCTCCTGTGGCTCAAATATACAACGACGCACAGAGCAGACAACCTTTTGGAGGGAACTTGTTCATATAAGCAGATGCACCTTTGAGTCATGGATCTTGTTGTTGGCGGAGCTAAACCGAACAACCGACCGCATCACCAGACAAGATTTCATCATAAAATGTGTTCCTACGCCAAACTGCCCTTGTGGAACATGAAGAAAATAGATATCTTTCGACAGAAGAAAAGCGAATTAAAAATAAAATAAAATAACGATATAAATTCATGCAACTTTTTCACATGTATCAACGTTTTAGTTACTTTGTTAAAAAACAATTTTTGGCTACAAAGCGAGTGTTTAAACGAAGTGCGTTCTGATTTTTCGTCCCCAGGGGGCGAGTACACAAAATTTCATTATATTTTAAGTTATTCATTTGACTACAACTCCCTCTGACCCTAACCTTACCTTGATCAGTGATTAAGCTGTTTAACCCGTGCTACACCTGATGCCTTACCTGAGCACGAGGGAAGTGGGAAGACAAGAACGTAACCAAATGTACTTTATTGAAGTCAAATATTTAAAAAAACAAAGCAAAGGTTATTGTTGAACACTAATAAAATAGTACAATGCTTCATAATAAACTCCTCCTCCTGTTCTTGTTCTCAGCATGTTTGTTGATGAGCAGACCCAGGTGCTCCCTGTAGCAGAGCTGGACTCTGGTTGGTCCTGAAGCTCAGGGAGATGTTCTCTCCTCTTAGTGTCGTGTAACAATGATCTCCTCGCTGCAGATCAATAATTTCTGCTCTGCTATTTACTAAAAGACTAATCCATTGACCTTGAGTTTAAAAATAAAAACAACACAATGCAGTCCTTAAGCAGATTTAGAAGCTGAGAAATTTTAATGCAATGAAAGGTAACGCATCACATTTTAATTATAGCTCCAGATAAAATGAGTTCCTCTGGAGCATCGCCATTTTTGAGCATTAATGGCCTCATTAATGGGATAAATGGGAGTGGGATTTCATTAAAATTCCGGAAATAGCATTTCAACTTCTTCATTAAAAATTTTCAGCTAAGGAAATTTATCCGAGACCAAATCAGACATTGCATTATGCCCAGGAAATTAGTCCTGTCATTCACAAGGTTAGGTGAAGAAGTTTAAAAGGATTTATCTTATTTTCTATTATCTATCTATCTATTACCGCAGTTGTTTGTTTTTATTATTATTGCATTTCCTAATAAAATACGAACAATATTAAAAAAAATTAATTGTCTGTGACATCCATCTACTGTCTTTAAAGCTGCCTTGCCTTTGGTTTAGTCTTCAGTTATTGTACATCTGCCAAACAGAAACGTCATCTGAAGTCACACTGGAAAGGTTGGCAGCAGGGCAGTGGCCCATCTTCACTCTGCAAGAAAACAAATGATCAGATCGTGTTTCTCAGTTACGAAAATCCAGTTCAGTCTAGAATGTAATTCTAGATTACCAGCCGACTTAAATGAACAACAAAACTTAACAGTTTGACAACAGCTGCAGTTGCTCGCAGACACCATTTTTGAGGTATTAAATCTTCCCTCATCCAACCTCACAGATCTGAATAAAAAGGCAATAACGCATAACACACACACACACACACACGTTAGTAAATAGAGAAATAGAGAATCACCTTGAAGTAGTTTTACAGTAAGGTAAAAACTAACAAGAGGCAAAAACAGTTCAATTATCTCTAAGAAATAAACCAAAAACCCAAACGTTCAGTTTCTCTTAGTGCAGACATCTCTCTCTCTCTCTCTCTCTCTGTCTCTCTCCCAGTCTCTGCTGATTCCCCACCATCAGCAAAATGTTCTCCTGAAAAGTGCAGTGAATGGAAAAAGCAGCTCAATTATCCAGAAGATTGTCTGGTTAATGTGGTGTGAGGACAGTAGGACAACAGAGAGGCCAAGCCAGCAGAAAATGAAATCATTATAGAGGGACTTCCTCCTCAGTGAACTTGATGTCCTGCCTCAACCTTAACAATTATTTGACATAGAACAGTGGAAGCTATTTGTTGACTGACCAACCAGGAAGCAGACGACAGAACCAGCTGACTGCAGGATCCCCTGTTCCCGTGTGTTGCTGTGAATAGATGGGAATAATTAGACACATATGCGTGAAGTTCATCTGACGCCATCAATTCAATGTCGGTCAAACTGGTGGCACTGGAAGACACAAACATTTGAGAGTGGTACAAAAAATATAAGGTGGTAGAAAACTCTGAGACTCACTGGCTGACAGCTCTGGGTTTACACTAAGGAGCCACAAGGGGGAGCATCTACACCTTCATCCAGAACTCAGACTATCTTCACCGCTGTCCTAAAAAAACACACATTTTCATCAACATAAATAAACATTGATTTAAAGCGTCACCTGAAGGAATCTGGTTTTGTTATTTGTGTCTTTTATTGTTGTAGAACGTAGTCTCAAAACAGAATCAGTGGGGGAACTGAGCAGCGAATCAGAGGTGTTTAAAGGAGAGCAGATCTTCATCATCTACTGACCTCACTGGTGCAGAGAATATGTTAGAAAAAAAACACAGCAGCAGAGTTTGATTTCCCTCCAGTCTCAGGAGCGGAAGAGAAATCGTTCTCCTGATAAGAAGCAGCCCTGACTTTTCCAAACATGTGAAGAAGATACAGCCACACTTTATCTGTGATCAGAAAAGAAGATTTAGAAAAGAAAAAATAAGAGTAAAACTTTCCAGGAAAAGAAATGAAATGTCAAGTTGATGTAAAAGATTTGCTGAGTTGTCATCCTTTCATCCCTGCAGGAAAATGTGCTCCAGGAAAAACAACAACATTCATCTACAAAACATCTACAAAATGAGACGTTTGCAGATGTAAAGTGTGTTACAGTCAATTCTACAATCTCTGCTGACCTCCTGACCTTGACGAGGGTTATTTTGGTAAAAGCTGTCACTCATCCATGGAACAGGGTTTTTTTTCTGATCTGACTCCAGATCAGTGACTTCACTCCAACCACTTCTTCAGACATTAAACTGCAGCCGTGACCATGAGGATGTTACATCTGTTTGACTCTGGCTGTAAACGCTCACAGAACTCTGTAGAATTTAATATTCAAGGCCAGAAGTTTTCCACTAACATTTAATGGACAACTTTTAACAACGACTGACGTTAAATTTCCAAAATAAATGTATGCAGTCATGTTTACACGCCGTGGACTTTACAGTTATTCCTACACCGCCGTGGTTTATTACACAATCATAAAATAAGGAGTTTACAGGCGACTCCTCCGAGGCTCCAGAGTAGAAGCTGCTTTAATATGTACAAAACACCGAAGCACCAGGGAGAGAATGAGAAGAGAGCAGAGGAGTGTGTGATGAACGACAGGATCACCTGCAGCAGAGGAGGAGGAGGAGGAGCTCCATGACAAAGACCTCAGAGCTTCACTTCTCCAACATTTACTCTCATTTCTTGGATCATTTTCAGGACTCTTTCAGTGGAAGATGGTGTTAGGTTTTTAAAGATGATCCAGAGAAGCTGCGACCTGGAACAGCAGAAGAAGAAACACCACAAAAAGGCTCAACAAACACACCTGTCCTGTAACGTCCTGTCCTGTACAGATACAAACAACAACATCTCACCTCTGCCTTTGAATCATTCCTGGGGAGCAGCAGCCACAGTGGGATTCAAACCTTCGATCCTCTGGTTTCAGGCCCAGTCAGTGCTCTGACCCTGGAGCCATGAGACCACCAGTCTGCCGGCTCCAGTAAAACTGTAAGAAATGTAGTAGCAGTAATAACAGATAACAGTGATGATGAAGATGAAGGCGTCACAGCACAAAGAGAACAAACCTCAGTTTCATTAGGAAGTTTCAGTTCTCAGTTTTCCGTCTACACCTTGACGTCAAACACAGTTCAAACACCACCACTGACTCATCGCTCCGGGTATTTATAGTTATGTTCTGCTGGTGCTAATTAGCTGATTAATATTCCCTCTCTGTGGCAGCAGAATTAATTACTGCCCTCACCCCCAGGGGGAAGAATCTCATCATCATTTCTTTTCTCGTTTTTCTCCGTCTTGAATCAACACAGTCACAGTGACATTAAACAGGTCAGACTCTGTGTACACAGCATTTTGACGTCAAACACAGTTCAAACACCACCACTGACTCATCGCTCCGGGTATTTATAGTTATGTTCTGCTGGTGCTAATTAGCTGATTAATATTCCCTCTCTGTGGCAGCAGAATTAATTACTGCCCTCACCCCCCGGGGGAAGAATCTCATCATCATTTCTTTTCTCGTTTTTCTCCGTCTTGAATCAACACAGTCACAGTGACATTAAACAGGTCAGACTCTGTGTACACAGCATTTAAAGACTCATTAGGCAGAGCTGAAATCAACTCTGGCCTCATGTAAAGCCATTAATAACCACAGGGGGGTGGAAGTCCACACAGGCCCAACTCCATGTGACCTGGCTGATTTAAAGGTAGATCTGGAAGCCTACCTCTGACTAATTATGACTTCTAACTCTTATAAAACCTGATGTCCAAACTTCACTGGACCTGTTTTATTTGACTAACGTTTTTGCTCCTCCTCTTCACCTCCTGCTGCTCTCCTACAGTACAAGCTCCGACTTTTTAACCTCTGTTCCCATTTCTATTTTCCACCTTCATCTTTGGATCTGTGGGGAGTTTTTAATGTTTAAAATCTGCCTCCAGGGGGAGACAGTGAAGACGGGCAGAATAAAATCAGCTGCGGAACTGCTGAGTGGACGATTTTGTCCAAAGTTTCTCTGCCTTCAGGGCCTGTGTACAAGACGTTTCCCTGTGACAAAGATAGGAATATTATTTTTAAACTTGCTCAACAATTCTGATAAAACTCTGCTCAGGTTTGGTGAAGTTCTTCAGCTCTCTGTGGGCTGCTCAGGTGCTGCAAGATCCACAGACACTGAGTCAGTGTAATGAAGAGCCCACAGAGAGAACGTCCAGGTTTTCGTCTTTATTCCAGTTTGTTCAAGTGGGCAGCGCGCACACGCACACACACACACACACCTTTGTCCACTTGTTCAGAGCTGAAGGTCCACAGACCCAGTGCTAACCTTTGACCTTCACACCTGTCCATCAAACACCATCTCTCCACAGCCGTCTCCAGGCAACTGAACTATTTAAGATTTTTTTACGATGACATCATCAGTTCATTCATCCATTCGCCTAAACCACACACACACACACACGCGTCCATGTACACTGTACACACATGAAGTAAAGGTGTATTTCAACCTGTTTCCCCCCACTAACATCTGCGTGCGTCTGACCTCTGACCTCTCTGACATCATTTGTTCCTAAAGCTGAAGAGGAGTTGGAGCACAGACACAAGAGTTAAAGGTCCAGTTCAAGTTTTTTTTTTATTTTTCAGAGGAAGGACTGAAGGAGGCGCTGCTTTGTTGGTCTGTCTCTCAGAGAGAGGCTGAAGCTGCAGGTTGAACGCTGCCTCATCTCCTCACTTTATTTCCCTTTACATCTGACTTTAACGAAGATGAAGGATTTTAAACAGTTCAGTCTGAAAAAAAACCCCTGTTGTTGATGGACAGTCCAGTGGGCGGTTCAATCACTCCAGGTTCCAGAGAGAGCAGTCGAGTGGTGAGCGTACGCCTCCCGGTGGATTGATTTAACATGACGATAATTTAATATTTGATGAGCCTTTAGTTAACTACTCCAGGCAGCCATGTTTCTGGGACAGAGAGATTTAGTGTCAGGTTCAGGTGATTGTAGCTCCGACATAAAGAAAACCACTAATGAATAAAGACAGAAAATGAGGAATTAAAAAAAATAACTCAGAGGAAACAGCATCAGTGCTGCTTTAAAAGAGGTCCAAACCAGGTCGGAGATGACCTGCTGCTGGCGGGAGGAATGAAATAGGTCATGTGACCAAACACTGGTCCAGATGCAGACTCACGGTGAAACACATCAGGATTCAGAGTAGGTTGAATATCACAGGTGGGTCACGGCCCAGGTCGTTAATCTGCTGAGACACCGTGATGTCTGACCTGGAATTAACCAAACTAACGGAAGAGATTTTCATGTGTTTATAAAAAAAATAAATCAATCAGTTTCCAGAAGCCTCCATCCACTTGTCGTCTTCTTCTTGTTCCAGCTCCAAACCCAGGTCCGGAGCTGTCCTGAGAGCAACCGTCTGGTTTCTCCTCCCTCTCCCCTGGAGTGTTGGTGATGTAGGTGGAAGTCACTGAGGTCAGAGCTTTCCTCCTGCTGCCCCTTCAGTCTCAGGGTCTGTGTTCTGGATCCAGGTGTGTTCCAGGTCCAGTGTGAGGACAGGAGGACCGCCGTCACTGTGGCTCCAGGAGAAACTTGTGGAAGAATGTTTTTGGTCACCAGTTTGGTTGACTAACTTTTTTTGGCCCACAGTCTGGAGGTTTGGGTGAAGCAAGATGATGGTGGACTGGGCCGGTACTGGTTCTGACAGAACCGTGCTGCGTTTGAAGGAGCTATGTGATTTGTTTTTTTGAGAACCTTCAACACTAACCGTGTGCTGCCTGTGTCTACCTGCCAAAAATATTCTCGTACTCCACCAGGATCAGCTCCACGATTTGGTTCTGGTAGACCATGTGGATGGCCATGTTCAAGGTCTCTGTTTCAGGACGCAGCAGCGTGGGCCCGAAGACGATGGCCAGGCTGTGAGTGGTCATACGGTTCTCCTCACCGTGGTCCACCACCCTGGAAGGAAGGACAACAGTGAACCAGGAATCAGGAACTGTTCAAGGAACCATGCACAGTAAAGTACAGTAGAAATACTCAGGAAGTACATGAGTAGGTAGTACAGTAGTAGTACGTGTGTAAAACATGAAGCGAGTCCTCTGTCCTAGTAGGTCCACTTTAATGACCGAAAAACCTCTAACCTTTAGCAGGTTACTATGAGTTTCAGTTACGTGGAGCAGGAAACACCTGAAAGAACAGGAACTATTTAAGGGTTCCTGTTACAGGAAAAGGAGGTCGAAAAACTATTTAAGGGTTCCTGTTACAGGAACCGTGGAGGTCGAACAGGAGAACATGTGCAATTTCCACAGCCATTCTTCAGCTTCAAAAATATATTTTGATAAAGTGGTTCTCAACCTGTGGGTTAGGACCCCCAGAGGGTGCATCAGTATGGGAGGGGGGTTAACATGGAAGACAGAATTGTATCGATTTGTAGTTTGATTCCCTGTGTTCAGTCTGAGAATATCAGGTCCTAGGATTTACAAAGTACAAAGTACTTCTTACTTCCTCAGGTGTTTGAAGAGAACCTGCATGGTGTCGTGGTTGGCTCTGGGCAGCTGCTTGACCAGGTCTCTGATGGACTGGACTCTCTGTTTGTACTCCGACATTTCTGCACAACACAAGCCAAAGGAAACACAACGGGCGTCATTTCAAAATCAACTTCTTTGCTCAAAGACACTGAAATATTTGGATTTTTTTTAAAGTTTGATGTTCCTCCTTCTTTTTTTGTGTTTGGAAAAACAAACTCGTACTGATGGCGTTGATGAAGTCGTGGAAGAACTTGAAGGTGAAGAGCGGCTCGGGCAGCTCCCTGAAGAACATCTTCAAGGCTCCTGTGGTGACGTGGACGTCCTCCCACTTCCCCTCTACCAGGTTCACCTTCTCGTCTGGACACATACACACACACACACACTCCGATGTATGATTGACAGCCCGGCCGTCACAACAACATGACTCCAGTCAGTCGTACTGCAGGGTGACTCACCATGATTGACAGCGTATCGTAGTTTCTGAATGATGGCCAGGTTTCCACTGACTCTGTACAAACCATCGACACGTAGACCTGCAGGGCATGATGGGTATGGAAATGTAAATCATTTTCCTGGTTTGTGTTTTAAGTCAGTTCAAAGTCTGTGAGTCCAGGAACATCAGACCAACAACACCAGCTGTGAATCACCATGTGACCACCGGCCAATCAGATCAGACAGTGCAGACGGACATTGAGAAGTGACCTGGACTGGTACTGACAGAGCTCAGAACTGTTTGAGTGTAGAACCGCAGACTCACCGCTGCTCTCCACGTGGTCGATGCACGTCATGACAAACTCTGGCACCGTGCTGTTCTCCCTCTGACACAGACTGGACAAACTGCAGCCAAACACCTGATCTGAAGACACCACAACACAGACAGAGTCACATGACAGCTACAGCTGACCTCTGATGTCATTTCCTTAAGAGATAAAATGCTGGACCTTAACCTTCTCAACAACAACAATAACCAGGCGTCCCACCTTTAATGTAACCTTTGTCTCTGACTGCCTGCAGCGTGGGACGACGGGTGAGGAACTTCTTCAACTTGTGTCTGGTCTTTTTGTTTTCTGTGGAGTCCATGCTGGTGGAGGTCTTCATGGCTGTGGAGACGGAGGAGAGAGAGAGAGGACAGTGATCACCATGGCGACAAATCTGTGTCGACACAAACACACACACACACACACACTGACCTCTGGCCCTCTTGGAGTCTCTGTGCTCCTTCTCCTTGTCGTGACCCTCTGGTCCAGGAGATTCTGGCAGATCTTCTTCTATGGCCTCGTCCGACTCCCAGGCCTGAGACAGACACCAGTGAGACACCAGCAGTTGTAAAAATCTTTTCCTGCTGCACCTTGGACTTAGAACGTAGGGAAATAAACTGAACCGACTGTGGATCGACAACAAGACTGGGAGCAGGAAGTCCGACGACAACAACCGTCGTGGGATTGTTGTCGTGGAAACTGTGTTTGATTTCACCTGACAGAAACACAGAGACTACAGCCGCTGTGGTTGGGGCAGGTGTGGTTCCTTACGTGGGTGCTGATGGTCTCCTGCAGGGCTCTGTACCAGTCGTTGATGACGTTGTCGTTCTCTGAGTGGATCAGCAGCTCTGTTCCCTGCCTGATCTTCAGCTGGAACCAGCAGAGAAAAGACACGTTCAAATGTCCAATGTTTCCCTCCTACCTCTAACTTCAAAGAACAAGAAACAGTTCATGTGACCATGACCTCAGCTCCGACCCACCTCTAACACATGCTTCTTGCTGGACTTGTCTTTGGAGGCCCAGTCCACTGAGCCCCCCCTCAGGTCCACAGTGATCTCTGGTTTGGACTGACCTCCAAACTGGACAAGGAGAAGAAACAAACCTTTAACTTAAAGATGAGAACAATTTCACAAACAGTTAAGATCTCGATGGTTGCTAGTTCAAAACTCGGGGTGTGTATTGTTAAGAATCTTGTGATGTGACCACCACCAACAGTCACAACATCTTTCAGCAGTTTGTCTCTAACTTATATCCTAATCTTATATCTATGTTTTTGATGTTGAGATGGGGGTTAATTTAATTAGTTATTTTTAATGGGGAAAATGTGATCGAGATATGATTGAATCGACAGACGACTGTTGTTGTGGAACAGATTCAACTTGTGTCTTGGGGCTTTACTGTGTAAACATATATTTTCTAGACCGTCTCCCACTCACCCAGCCACTTCCACCTTGTCCTTTGGTGAAGAGCAGCGTAGTTCCCTCCAGAAGAGTCCAGGAGGAGGTCCAGTTCTTCCTGCAGAGACAGAAGAGAATTCAATTAGAATAAAATAGTCTAACAGTATTATCATTGTAGCAAATACATCATAATCCATACTGCCTTTATTTTAAGTACAAGATTTTCCATGGATTTCACTGCATTTCTTTTTATAAATATATATCTAAATATATATTTTAAATGTTTGATTTAATATTTATTTTTTATGATTGTTATAATCATTGCTTTTTTCTTTTTCTTCATTCATTTCCTGTCTTCTGTAAGAAGTCTTTTTTGCTGCTGTGAGACAGTTCTCCCTTAAAAGATGAATACAGTTATAGTCATAAATCCCAATTCACTCAAGGAAAGGAGTCAGGGAGAGAGAGAAAAATGGACATAAAGGCATGGAACCTGGGGTCAAACTTTAAGGCTGTGATTTGATTAAAAAAGTTCAGACTTCCTTACCGCACTTTCTTGCCGTTCTCTGTGATCTTCGTCACGTTCAGAACTCCACACTTCTCTGACGGCTGCGGGGGGAAAAAAACGGACGTGAAAAAGAACGAAAAAAAGAAAGAAAAAGAAAGCTTAGTTTCCAGTTTATTAAAACACCAACACAAACAGCACCACCACCAGGGGAGATGAAGTCAACACAGAGGAGCTGAGGTTCAGCCCGTGGTCGTCTGTGTTTTTCATCCACTGCAGACAGGAAGTTAAAGTAAAGCAGAACCAAACCCAGGCTTTTATTTTGAAATTCCCTCAACATCTCAGATCACCTGTGTTACATAGACTGGACACACTGTCCACCACGCAGCCTGTTTGGACAGGGGGACACTTTTTTACCTTTGTAACTTGGAAAACAATCATGGGCGGCACTTATCTTAGAACATGGTTCTAAGATAAGATGTAATTATAAAAATAATGTCTCCCCTACTCACACAGACATGGTGCTGAACACACACTGAACATCTAAAAAAAACAAAAACTATCCCTTTACCATTTAACCACACATCACACTGACACTGATTATTTCAGACATGGACAGAACCGTCCAGTTGCAAAACAAAGATTAAAAAAACAGGTTCATGTTAGAACCTGGTCTTTGAAGTTCAGTCAGAGGGAACAAAAGGTTATGGTGAAAAAAAAAAAAAGATCTTCTGTTTTGCAACTGTTTGGCTCAGAGTCAAGTTCAACCCCAGAAGGACAGAGATGGGCGAGTGAGTGAGAGACACGGGTGAGGTTAGGGGTGAGTACTAACAGAGGCGGGGGGCTTGGGAGATGAAGAGCAGGAGTCAGAGTCAGGAGAGGAGGGCACAGGCCCCAGAGATGCTTCCTAGTGGGGAGACACACACACACACACACACACGGTGTCAGATGAACAGAGTGTTAATGAGGGGTGAGGTCAGGAGAGACACACACGGACGGATGACAACAGTGGGATTAACAGTTGGATTAACAACTGGATTAATAGTTGGATTAAGACAGGGGCGTTAGAATGGGATTAACAGTGGGATTACTTTAGGGTTCACAAAGAGATAAATCAGGGAATTAACAGAATTACATTAACATTGATATTTGG